CCTGATCACTTTCCTCTCCTCTAAATGTTTCATAATTGATTCCTTGAGGACCTGCTCCATGATTTTTCCAGGGACTGAAGTGAGGCTGACTGGCCTGTAGTTCCCCGGATCCTCCTTCTTCCCTTTTTTAAAGATGGGCACTACATTAGCCTTTTTCCAGTCATCTGGGACCTCCAGGTGTGTTTGGTAAAGCTGTGCCTCCAACAGAACAGGGAGTGATTTGGTGACCTCCATCTCTCTAGAAAATGTTCACTCTGCTCCATTCTGTGAAGCTTACTGCTCCACGTCTACATGACTTCTCTTTGCTTTGGTAATTATACAGTTTGTTTCTCAAGATCTTTGCAGCAGCTACCACATGTTTTGGGGACTCAATATCTGGACTTAACTTCAAATGGAAATTCGCTGAAATGAGTTAGGGGAAACAAATTTTATGAACTGTCTTTGTCTTACTTACCACTAAATCTTTTTTTGTTCCAACCAGAAAGATGAAGCTGGACCCTGGCTCATTCTCCCTCAATGCATCCTCTAGCCACTGCCTGAAACAAAGAACAGGAGAAGTAAGGTGTAATTAGAGAGGAAGAAAGAGGGCAAAGAGGAGTGAAAGAAATAGAGGTTTATGGAGGAAAAGGGAAAGAGACAAAGAAACCAACAACAAAGAGAATGAGAGAAGAGGAAGATGCTGATGTGTCATGTGTCTTTCCCACTAGAGAATAAATGGCTTGGAAGCTATTCTAGCTCATCTGGATACACACTTACCATCCTGTGAAAGTAGTTCTTGTTTCAGCCAAGCTTGCCCACTTTAGAATGTAAGTCCAACAGTGATCAGAGCCCCTATAGAAGGAATGCAAAAGTGCCACACTATTCACCCACAGCAAGGGATGTGGCCAAAGTAATGGTGACACAGCCCAGAGATAAGGAATAAGATGCAAGAACAGGAAGAGAGAGTGAGAAGCAGAGGGAGAATGAAAAAGATGAATGTTGAAGCAGAGAAGAAGAAAGAGTGAAGGAAAGCGAGAGAAACTCCCACTGGGGCAAGAATCTACTCAGCCACATAATGGAAAAGATCACTATGAAGTTGTGCCTGATTCTTATCTCACACCAGTTTTACACCTGTGAAACGCCATTGATTTAGGTGGAGTCATCTTTGAGTTACCAATGTAAGTGAAAGAAAAATTAGGCCCCCAGACTTCAACCTTCTACTAAGCAGAGACACTATTTAATAAAATGATATTTGTACATGCTGCAGACACTGCAGTACTTATGACTGATCTGTGCAAGGTAGTCTCTCCAGTATCCCATTCCCTCCCCTTTACAGCCCACATTCTGCTTTAAATCTAAGTACCAGAATCTTTTCTATCAGAATCATCACTACAGACAGTACTGGAGTAAGAAAATGCTATTTGGTAAGTAGAAAGCCTAGGAAATGAGTAACATTTGAGACACTAAATTATTCAGACACATTGGCTAAATCCACCCTTCATTTTTCTGGCTTAGTAAGATACCTACACATAAAATCAAGCCCAGTGAATTTTAATTCCCAGTTCAGTTTTATGCTGGAGACCTTTTACTAAAATCTCAAAGACTTGGCCAGGAACTTACTTCGTGTGTTCCAAAGTCTGGATATCAGCCAGATCAAACACTGTTATAATAACTGCAATAAAAACAGCACAGAAAAAATAATTAAATGAGACAGTGAATTAGAAATCTTACGGGTTCAACTCAGCTCCTGAAGCATACAGTGAGAGCACAATTAATTTGATCCTGACTGTGAAGTGCTTTCTGACTTACTCACCCTCTGCTCCTCTGTAGTAAGCAGATGCAATGCACTTGAACTTTTCCTGACCTGCTGTGTCCCATCTGTGCAGAAGGAAAAGAGAAATTTCAGGTCAATCAAACCCAGTGCAACCTGAGCAAACACACTAATGAAGCAACAGACTGGTACAAGTTGGAGAAGAATGTGATACCAGAGAAGTGTTACCATCTGGAATATGTTACCCATTAAGCTCTGTTAGACATCCTGTAAAGTGTAAAGCACCATTATTTTAATCAAGGCATTTTAACCCTGTATTTGCTATTCTCAGCACAGACACGATTTAGCTTTGGGGAAGTCATTTAGGCCCAGATCCACAAAGGGTCTTAGGTGTTGCAGTGCTGAGCATCGCAGCACCTAACTTTTAGGTGTGCAGAAAATCACAGTAACACCATTATGAGCCACAAAACCTGAGTTAGTACAGGGAGTCTAGGCGTCTATCTCTGACTCAGTGACTATTTAAGTATCTATCCACAGTGAAAAAGTCATTGGGGGAAGAGACAGAGAGATTGGTTCTGTAGCCAGTGGTTAAAGCAACCACTGAAGGAGATGGGAGACCCAGGTTCCAATCCCCCTGCTCCAATTGCTCTTTATTTATCCAAGCTAGAATAGCTTCAGCAGGAGAGATTGAAGGAGCTCCAAAGCTCGGTGGCTAGAGCACTCTCCTGAGAGGTGGGAGACTCCCCGTTCAAATCCTTTCTCTCACTCCAGCAGAGTCCCAGGCACGTGTACTAACCATTGGGCTAACAGTTATAAGTGGAAAGCACTACTTCCTCCTCCAGCAAAATTTTGAATGGGAGCCGATACAATAGGTGGTCTCTGACCAAGCCTAGTGGATTGGGCCCTGCACACGATTTAGGCAGAACACCTATCTTCCCCTGGTTTGTAGATTAGTCTGAGGTTTAGGCAGGAGATAGGCATCCAGACACTTAGAATGAGGTAGAAGTGTGCATGCCCAGAGGCAGAAACTTAGGCGCTGAGGGAGCTTTCACCCAGAAAACTTTAGAACCAAGTGAGTTTAGGCATCTACAGGATTTGGCAATAGTTTTGTGGATCACAGTAGAGCCAAAACTGGAATCTGAAGATGAAATTTAAGCACCTAAGTCTGTGGTTTGTGGATCTGGGCCTTAGTGCTTGATCCTACGCCACCGAGAGCTTTGCCACTGACTTCAATGGGTGCAGGAGCAAAGCCCGAATCTCATAAAACCAAACAGTGTGCTCATCTACATCCATGTACTCCCACTGAAGGCAACAAAGTGGGACAGATGTAGCCCAGGATATAATTTGCTGTTCAGGGCTTCATTCAATCTTACATGAAAACTGAGTAAAAAGAAAGACCCCAACTAAAAAAAATCAGACATGGTATCTAAGGTGAGTGTGGGTGGTACAATTATAAAGCTTTCAGAGACAAGGAACCCAACAGAATGAGGTTTATACTAAAATCTTGAAATTCTTCAGTGTCCAAGAATAGCAGGTGTTTCTCACACTGCACTATGTTGTGTGGAATATAAACCAGAGGTTTTGATACCACTAAAGCCTGTAGCAATTCAAGTTCTGTTCAAACTGTAGGCATGCAAGAAAGAAAACAGCTGGTACTATAACGTTCCAACTTACATCTGGAGATTATATGGCACTCCAGCTATTTCAAACCGTTCAATTTCAAAATCCACTCCAATGGTTGCCTTGTAGTCTCGGTCAAAAATATCTTTACAAAACCTGCAATGAAAAAAGTATTAGGAGAAAGCCAAAAGCATCATGTTTTTTAAATTTCGTATCATGCCTCAGTATTGTGCAAGGTGTGTTATATAGGGAGGAGTTAAATAACTGTGGATCAGAAGATTTCTATTCAGTCACATTGTATTTCAAAAATATTTACCAAATCAATGAGAAACAAATTGATAATGAAGAGGGTAGTTACTCTGAGTAAGGATATAGTAAATGAAACAAAGGGAAAACTATAGTGGGCTTATTTAAGGGTATGTCTACACTGCAGCTGAGAATGAGCCTCCCAGCCCGGGTAGACAGACTTGTGCTAGCAGGCCTTGAGCTAGCATGCTAAGAATAGCCGTGTGGCTGTCGTGGCCCCAGCAGAGACTTGGGCTAGTTATCCAAGCTCAGATCCAGAGGGTCGGATGTACTTGAGAGCCTGTGTTGCCTCCCAAGCTGCAACGTCCACATTGCTATTTTTAGCATGCTAGCTCGAGCCCCACTCACAGTGAGTCTGTCTACCTACGCTGGGATGCGTGCTCCCAGTTGTAATGTAGACGTAACCTAACAGACCCCCAGGACTGGAGAAAACCAGAATAAACTATTTTTTGACTATCAAAGAAATTAAAACCATGGAATACTTTATTTATAAGGGATATCTGCTAGGTGGCAAATATAGATGAATATGGATCACGTTAAGTAGAGAAAAAATTAATTATCCAAAAGGATGAGAAACCATCCAGAATCTACTTCTTACCAATATTGAGGAACTGACTGAAATTGTGAGGGTAGTAACGAAGCTATAGTGATAACAAGCTACTTAAATTCCATATCCCGATACAGTCATCACATCATAAAGTATAGAACTGGCCTTAGTATTCTGGGAAGAATCAATGAAATTAATGCTTTGGTTAGTACACGTGCCTGGGACTCTGCTGGAGTGAGAGAAAGGATTTGAATGGGGGGGGGGGTCTCCCACCTCTCAGGAGAGTGCTCTAGCCTGAGCTCCTTTTATTGGGGTCAGTGAATAGGCAAGATCTTTTAAAAACGTTTTAAGGAACAATTCTCCAAAGAAGACTGAGAATCTGAGGGCCACTCCAGCCCTCCAAAGGAAATGTTGAAAGCCCCATATCTTGGATCATTTAAAACGAGACTGGTCAAAATATTTGAGAATATTCCATAGAGGGAATAATCCTACACTGCCAAAAAGGATTGATCAAGATGCTAACAGGGATTTTCTATGATGCTGTAGTGAATTTTAGTGCCTATCGTAGGTTTTCTGGTTTTCCTTCAGTTTAATGCCCCCAAACCACCTTGAGACAGACAATGTGGGGCACTGTGATCAGCAGAGGGGTGAAGAAAAATACTTAATATTTTTATTATTGATTTAATAGAAAACTGAAAGTCCTTACTACAATGAGGCAATCATCCTGAAAACATAGATGGTAAAGGAACAGAGTCCAGCATGCAGAGAAATTGCTATACATTTAAACAGCAAACCCAATCTGCTGAGATATACCGTACCTGTTGATGAGGCTGGTTTTCCCAACATAGAGGTCTCCTACCACAACCACTTTGGATATTTTCAGCCTGTAACAAATATTTTGTTATTGTTCAATACTGTTAATACTAGGGCAGGTCTACGCTACAGCCTAAGTCAATATAACTTACGTTGCTCAGGGGTGTGAAAAAGTACCCCTCCCCTGAGCGACGCAAGTTTGGTACTGTCCATACCGGTGCTATGTCAGTGGGAGATGCTCTCCTGCCAACATAGGTTCTGCTTCTCGGCGAGGTGGAGTAATTGTGCCGACAGGAAAGCACTCCCTCATCGGCATAGCACGTCTTCACCAGACATGCTGCAGTTGTGCTGATGTAGCTCTGTAGTGTAGACTTGCCCTTAGTTTCAATATTCTTACCATATAATGGTGATTTAGGCTCCTATCCAGTAAGCTGTAATGCACAGGCAGAGTGGTATGTTTTCGCAGAATGTGTGCAGCTGCAAGAGTCCGCCCTAGCTTAATCAACTGCAGTATCAGAGCCTGAATTTGCAATTACTAAAGGAGGAGAAGGGAGGCCCCTGAATTTGTAATTGCAAAAAGAACTGAATACTGTGAACAGAGATAAATAGTGTGCTTCTAACATTGTCCAGTTTTTCTTAGATTGTAAATTCTTTGGGGCAGAGACTCTCTCCTACTAAGAATGCTTGTACTGTGTATGTTTATGTGTGTGTGTGCAGGTGTGAGCATTTGCACATAACGGCATACAAGAATCTGTGTATTTGTGAGCATGTGGAAATGTGCGGCCTCAATCCTGCTGCCACTAAAATCAATAGCAAGACTCATTGACTTGAATGGCACAGCATCGGGTCCTGTGGATCTGAACAAGAAAATATCTGCTAATGACTAATCTACTGTGAGATTTATCTCTGGAGAAAACACAGCGTTTAGTGCCAAAAGATTTCCTGACTATTTGGAATAGTATTAATCTGAGGCTGGCTTCAAATAATCCTCTTTGCTCTGGATCCTCCCACAGGAAGCAGCAGATGGGCTTTAAGTGACTCAAGTTGTACTCTTAAAATTGTAATTTAATATGTCTTTAAGGAGCTGCAGTGGGTGGGTAACTGTGACTGTATTCGATGAACCAACCTCTGAATGATAATTTAGTGTCTCCTGTGTGTATGCTACAGTAATACCTTAGTAGATTTAATAGTTCTATACTGACTTTTTAAAAGAGAAACAAATTTTATTCAACAATATATCAGGTTATATCACAGCTCCATGAAATTCTGATCCCTGATTATTAACTGCTGATGATATGATACTTGATGAAATCAGCTACATTAAAGGCAAAAGGAATCAAAAGAAGAATATAACTGTTTGAGTATGTGACTTCCATTAACTCCTAGTAGAACAAAATACTCTGGGGCTCCCACACTGATGGAACATGAACTGAGACCTAATATATGGTCCACCAGTCACTGAACTGCTCACACTATCTTGTTGCATCCAAAGAAAAATATTCCACGTTAATAATAATAGGAAAGGAAAATAACAGCTGTTCATGACATATAGTGCTCTTGTTTTGCATATATGGGGTCAAACCATCAGCTGTCTACCAAGAAGCAGCATAAGAATGGTCTGATCTAGTGACCATTGAAAAGAGAGGGCTTTAATTTTATTAAGGAGCCAAAATAAAAATCCTTTTAGCCATTCACTGGGGCCAGATTAAATGAAAGGGGAGTTGCTATAATTCTTGTAAAAGCAATAATGTCTGGGTTACAGATGAGAAGAATATTTCTGTTCAGTAAATAATATTTTGCCAGCATGCTGAAGATTCAGAAAATGACCCTGCTACCTGCAACAGATGTACAGCAAAGAAAAAGTAGCAATACAGGGCCATAGTATGCCCTTATATCCTCAGTTTTTAAGCAAGACTCCCCAGTAAGATGAATGAGGAGTTCTGCTTAAAGATGGATATAGCTCAATAAAATTAACAAGTTTTGTCTTTAAGAATAGTAAACTACATTTTGAGTACTCAAAATACTGTTAGTTTCCCTTAGAGAGAGATTTTCACACTGGAGCAAACCCCCCAAAAAGAGAATATTTATATCATTGACATATTTTGCCCATAACTTTCTCAATTTTATTTTTAAACTATTTATTGTAGTTGAATAGGGATGATCTCCCTCACAGCTCAGCTCTCTGAATTGACTCAGCAATGAAATCATAAGGCTGAGTTTGTGAAATTTAACATTATTATTTCATTGAAAGAACAAGTAAAAGGAAATCCTGCTCTGGGAGAGATGACATTTTAAAAAAAACAATTCAAGAAGCATTATGAAAGGCACAAGAAAATTGATTTGCATTTCTCAGCACAATATATTATTCTTCTCCAGAATAATGCTCCAACTTTAAGGAGAAGGTATAAAATGTCAGTTTTTCTGAAAGAAATAGTTTTGAAGGATTACAGCCAGATTCCTAGGCAACTCCATTGACTGAAAATGGAGCCACTCCACATTTACACCAGTGTAAATGAAAACAGAATTTGGCCCAAAAATTTGTATTAATTACTGGTTTTCTATACTCAATCATAGATTCATAGATTCATAGAT